TTTGTGTTTGCAAATAACTGAAATAAAACCAGTAAAAGTCTGGGAAAAAATACTTCAGGGGAAGCATTCCTGGAACCCTTGCGGGTCTTTGTGTGTGAGCTGGCAAGAGGGCAGCGCTCTGCCGTAGGTGCGTCCTTCTTGCGTACATGGTGCGGTCCTTCCTTGTAGCGAGTCACAGGATACAGATGACCTGGGAAGAAAGAAACACTTCTGTGGGCCTAAAACCACAGGACTTGCGACCTTTTGAGTTCCTGCCACCAGGCGCAGGCTACTGAGCCATTAATTTTGTGTTCGAGTAAGAGAGAGAGGTGAGCTGTGGCTGCCTGGGGCCGGCGGGGCACGTCTCAGGTACCCATTGGGCGAGGGCTGTCCTGAGGAGCCATCGGAGTCCCCCCTGGCAGCGTTCAGGTGGGAAGGCGGCACTGAGCGCTGCGCTTTAGACCCTCCCTTGCTGTCAGGCTCGTTTTATGAGCTGTCATCTTCCCACCTCCCCCTTTATGGAGTGCTCCTCATCCTGTGGGAGATTTTGATGTGGCCGCCCATGCTTATTTTGCTGGAAGCTGTCACAGATATTTACAGAAAGATTTACCCATATGGCAGAGTTTAAACCAGGGCAGCCATTTCCTGCACCGTTGTGTCGGGATTTCGGCCCTGTGTGTTTTTCTGCTGTGTGACAAACTAAATGATGTGTCCCGTGGTAAGTACCGAGGCCTTTGGGCATGGCTTTATTGTTTTAAATGCTACCCTGGAGTTATTTCTGTAATGGTATCGCTTAGATCTTGCAGGTAATCTTCTGTAGTAATTTTTTTCCTTACTCTTTTCAACAGGGCAGGCTAGCCTCAATGAGCAGGGGAGGGGTTAGGGGGTGTTTGTGGTGGAAAGGAGAATGTTAAATGCCGTGATCTGTATCTTCTGCTTCTAGGGGCTTGGAGAGGACTTAGCCCACGTTTCCTAGATAAGGCCCCAATGTAACCCGGCCCTAGACGCCGATCAGTCTGCATATTCATGTGCTGCTTTACTGTTGCTTGCAGACCATTGTTGCTATTAACAAGGACCCAGAAGCGCCAATTTTCCAAGTGGCAGACTACGGCCTGGTGGCAGACTTGTTTCAGGTGAGGCCAAATGCGGAGATGCGTGGGATGACGGTGTCAGAGTTCTAACGATAGCTTAGATAATCTAACAAGTGGTAAAGATGGCTGTGCAAGGCTGCTTGCTTTGGGTTGTTTTGTTAAAGAGTTGGCTTAATGATTTCATTATTTTCACGCTCAAAATTCAATCCCTGCACATGGTGGGGGGAATGTCACAGCCAGCCTGCCAGTATTCCAGTTTCCTGAATATGAACCATTTTAAGAAATAGCTGCACATAGGTGCTTCCATGTATTTTTAAGCTTTATAAAGTATGACAGTAGCGTGGGCAGCAGTTGTTTTTGCCTGGGTGTGCTGCCTTCCAGACACCTCCAAGGAACGCGCAGGTCTCTCTGGCAAACCTGGGCTGTGGGCTCGCCAGGGCCAAGTGCCTGCAGCTGCGCAAGGACACATCCGCGCATGTACTGGCAGGAGCTGGCGGGGGCTCTGTGGGCAGCAGCTCCACCAGCACTTAATGCCCTTCCTGAACCAATGCCCGCTGGCTCAGCGCTGAGCACGGGCCCTCTGCTCAGCCACAGGCAGAGTCGCATTCTGAAGAAACACCATGTAGACAATTTCCTTAATAAATTTTGTACGAATGTATTATTTCCACCTAATGGAAATGCAGCACTCTTTAATAATTAAGAGGCTTTATTCGGCAGGCGAGAAGTGGGGAGTGCTATGAGCTGGGGTGACCCGCAGCCCCCAGAGTGGTGTGCTGGGCAGGAGGGGTGGGAGGGGGCGAGCACTGGATGTG